ATCCTGTCTCCATACCTTTTCAACATGTATGCAGAGCAGATTATCCGAGAGGCTGGGCTCTATGAGGAGAATTGTGGCATCAGGATTGGTGGAAGATCTCTTAACAATCTGCGTTATGCAGATGACACAACACAACCTCGTTTTTTGTTAGCTACCTTTTTTCTGGTTTTAGATTGTTGCTGTTGTTATGTGCTATCAAGTCAGAACTGACTGATACATAACCCTCCAGTGTGTTTTAGAGGCTGTAAATTACCCAGGAGGAAATTGACTATATGTTTCACATGAAAGAGCTGGAAGATTTGAACCACATGCCTTTGGGTTGGCAGCACAACTCTTAATTACTTGACCACCAGAGTACTCTTGACTCTTGTGCTTTAAATTATAAATATTATATAATATATCATATTATATTATAGATATAATTTGTAAATGGATATTCTTCAAGTTTATCATTTATCTATGTAGTCATTAGAAGATACGCTTCTCATTTTTTATTCCTTACTAAAATAAGAACATCTTTTTATAGATCCTCTCTCTAAAGAAAGATCTGTACTGTCATCCCTGCTTTGTGTACAAGAAACTCTTACACTTATTTGTGACCAGTTCCTTAAAAATTAGTGTATTAGATAAATGTGTAATTTTTTAACTTTAACCTTATAACGTAAGTGGGATTTTTTTGCTTTTTGTTTTGATATAAATATATTTTTTTTTGCTTTGATATAAATATTACAATGAAATATTCAAGGAGTTGGAGTCAGAAAATCAAAAGGGCTGAACTTGCTCAGCATTTCTTAAGCTCAAGGAACTGAAGAACAAATTCAAACCTCGAGTTGCTATAATCAGGGGTGCTTTAGGCAGAATATTAAATGACCCAGGAAGTATTAAGGTGGAAAGAATATACTGAGTCACTGTATTGAAAGGAATTGGCAGACACGGAAGAATTTTATGAAACAACATATGAGCAAGAGCCTATGGTGATGAAAGAAGAAGTTCAGGCTGCTTTGAAGGAAATGGCAAAAAATAAGGCCCCAAGAGTAGATGGTATACCAATTGACATATTTCAGCTAACAGATGCTGCCCTGGACATGCTCACCAAATTGTGCCAAGAAATTTGGAGAACAAGTACTTGGCCAACTGAGTGGAAGAGATCTTTATTTGTTCCCATCCCAAAGAAAGGTGACCCAACAGAGTGTGGAAACTGTAGAACAGTATCATTGATTTCACATGCAAGCAAGATTCTGCTGAAGATTATCCAAAAACGACTGGAACAGCACATCAGCAGAGAACTACCAGAAGTCCTGCCTGGGTTTAGAAGGGGTCGTGGTACTAGGGATATTGTAGCTGATGTTAGCTGGATCTTAGCTGAAAGCAGGGAATACCAGAGGAATGT